ACTGCCACTGAAACCCTGACTGGCACAAATGATCTGAGCCACAGAGGAAACTCTGTGAAAAACTTGACCTTGTGTTGTCTACTTACTCTCCCTCCTCATTTCTCTCACATATACAAACACAGACACTCCTTCTGAAATTCAAGTGCTGACATGGTGAAACAACACATTAATAATTCATAAAATAACCAATCTCAACTCTTTCACAGGCCGTCTTACTCTTTCTTACCGCTGTGCTTCACAAATCAATATTTTGAGGTGTAAAGTAGTCACAGAGGCAAATACTAAGCAATGACATGAACTACTTCAAATCCTGGAACTAGTGAAATGAGAGAAAAAAAAACATAGATAGAGCAGTTTAAAGAAACAAGCATAATTTACAGATTTTGACAAGTGTCTTCTTCGGTTGTATCCTTAGAATGAGATACGGACCCTGAGAGACAGATGGTTTTTAACCTAGAAACAGAAAACAGACGCGCGCATTTGTTAAAGAGACAATTATGAATTCAGCCTGGGGGTTGGCGCGTGATCAAATCGCTGTGCCTCTGTGATGTTTCCGCAGCTTTGATCTCTCTGTGTTAACTCTTTCCGTGCAGCCGCCTCGTGCCCGTGGTAGCCTCGGCCTGGGTTATAGGCCCATATGATTTGAGAGTGCTTCCTGTTTGGCCTCCAGGCAGAACCACTGAAATTGTTTTGGCATACGAGTTGTGAAGCAGATTCTCCTCACAACTGTAGGCTGGGGGTTGAGGCCTTTGCACATCCAGGAGTCAACTTTTTTTCAGCACAACTGTGACAGGTTCATATTGAAAATGATTAGAAGGGGAGAACTTAATCTGCTGTTGCATGCCTCTTTTGTCACAAAGCAGGTAAAATGTTTCTGTTTAAAAGTGCAAAAATTATTTTTTTCTGACTGTTTAAAATTTGTTCCTTGTGTTTTCCAGTGTTTCCATATAATGCACTAATTTCACATGAAATCTGTAACTGGGTCTGATTTTGAGGGACTATCACGACCAACAGCTGGCCTCTCAGACTGTATTTCTAAGCACCATGGAGAGCGACATTGGAGAAGCAGCCTAGTGCCCCACTCAATATTTGATTTACTCAGGCATTACTGATGGAGGGTGCTATATGCTTTCAAGGAATCGTGAAAAGGCAAAAACCCACACACTGCTTCACATATACATTTTTTTCCTCACTCACCAAGTTACCAGTTTCTTAGTCATGTCTAGCTATAACTAATGCTGTCTGATGGAAGTTTATGAGATTATGAAGTTTATGTTGAAACTGTTCAACAGCTGTGCTGATTCAACTTTATGATTGTGTTATACACAGAGGTTTTTCTCCTATTTACAATAGTCTAAATGGTTTAGACAAACTGTTAGAAACAGTGTTTGCTAACAGTTAGGTGGCAATAAAACTGCAGCGTGTAGTTTCATTCAGAGAATGAAAGCCTCAGACCCAGAGTTTCTGACTCTCATCCCAACAACTTCACGCCCCACTGCTGAAGGTCACGGTCTGATGAAGCCATCACAACCACATTAGCTGCAAAGGGCAGAGAGGCAATTCTCAGGTCCCCAAACTGGTTGTTCTCCTTCCCCCAGACAGTGACGCCCCCAGAAATTTGTCATAAAAGTGGCCAGATGGGGCAACTGAGAAATGTTGGGGTGACACACCAAAAGTCATACCTGAATTTCAGGAATTCAGTTATGCTGTTGTATTATTATAGGCAGTATGGTGATGCAGTGGATAGCATTGTCGAGCAAGAGGGTTCCCAGTTCAAATCCAGGGTGGAGGGTTCAAACCCTGGGTGGGGGAGCCCAACACCCACTGAAAACGTGTTTGACTTCCTGTCAAGAATGTAGACACAGTACGTGCTCCCCCAGTACCCCCCAAGGGCATTTATTTTGCAGTTAGTGTACAAAAAATCAACATACTTGACAGGTTTATAGTGTAAGGAAGCAAACAGTTGTGTTGTAGGACGTCAATCAAACTGCAACTCAAACAGTTAATCATTTTTGCAAATGTACGTATTCGACTTCTTGTTGAGAGTAAGATGAAAAGATGAACATCACTGTCATGCCTGTACATTGAATATAAAGCTACAGCAAGTAGCCAGTTAGCTTAGCATGGTATAAAGGCTGGAAACAAGGGAAAAGATTGAGTCTGAATCTGTCCAAAGGTAACAAACCCAAACAAAAATCTAACCAAATCAGCTGCTCTGCTAAAGCTCACTGATTTGTGAGTATCCACTTCTTGGTAGTCTTATGACCAGACCATGATTTTTTTTTCTCTGTCTGATCCCCCATCTGTCTGCACTGTCAGCAGAAAGACAGGTGATGCTCTGTCTCTGAATACTCAGGACTGTCTCTCTTCTTTGTTGCCCTCTGTCTCACTCTTCTGCTCAAGCATGCTGGCGGCCATTTAATGAAATGATAATCTGCTGTTGCACGGGTGTTTGTGTGTGTGTGTTTGTGTGTGTGTGTGTGTTCTTTGATCTGTCTGTCATATGGTCGTACAGCTGTGTACTGACATGATTACAAAGGCCTGACCAGATGTGCTGGCCAGCTGTCCATGACACAGACTCTGTTTTTGTTTGTGTGCGTGTGTGTGTGTGTGTGTGTGAAGGATAAGAGGCAGCATATTGTCCTATTGGTGAGGGCAGATTCAGAAACAACACCACTTCTCACTCAAGTTTTTTAACATCACTGTGGACGTGCTTGTTGTGCCTGCGCAAGTGCGTCTTAGAACGTAAGCAAGAATACGATTGGCTTAAAACATTGGCTCCATTCAGCACTTCCCACTTCACTGACACTTGAGCCCACAAGGGAAATGTTTGTGTGTGTTTGCGATAGAGACAGAGAACGTGGTTGCAGTCCATATATGGTAATGTAGTTTGGTTAGAGCCAGTGCGTTTGCTACAGAATGAATCAGAGTGCTGTTACATCAGAGGTACGGGCAGGCGGGATGGATCACTTGCACTCCTATTGGAACACACACTTCCGTTTGTGCATGTGTGTGTGTATGTGTGTGTGTGAGAGAGAGGAATGACAGAAACACACATACTCAGATGGCCTACTTTTCAGCAACATGGGGATGTAAGGACTATTATGCAGCAGTGCGGGCGGGTAGTGCAGAGACATGGTGTGAATGAATGGGAATAGATGGACAGAAAAGGGGAAGTCACTCCCATGTACAGTACTACACCTCAACTTATTCACACTGTCAGATCTGATCATAACTATGACTGTATACACAGAGAAGAAGTGAAGTTCTCTGATACTGCTGTAAAATTGTTGCAGTTTTGGGATATTTCTCAAAGTTTTATTCAGGTCAGCAATCGTAATCTTTTGTCAGAATCCACTGAAAACCATGTGTAAATCAGGGGCAAAAAATTGCTGTTGAGCCCTGATTGACCCTCCACAAACACACATATATATTCAGGAAAATCTGCAAAGTAGGTGCAATATAAAATTTTTTTTGACCAATCACTGCTAAGTGAGTGAAATCAAAAATGGGAAGGTCATCAGTCCTAGCGAGCCAGCTACCCACTGTCTCATGCACTCTGTGGGAGATAGTCCCTGAAGTTCCCTTAGAAAAGCTCCGCTGAGTGACCGTGTACTGCTCTTTAACAGAGGTGGGGCAGTAAACCAGATGTATATTTGCCAAACCAACCAACATATGCTCATACAAAGATACATATGATATCTAACTAATACGTGGCAAACATCGTAGCGCCTCTGCCGGTTAAGTTTGGTGTAGGAAAAGCAACTTGGATAAGTGACGTCACATTACGTACTTAACATAAAGTTATGTACTTAATGTAACGTGACGAATCTTAAGATAAGTTCACTTGTGGGCCTTTTCCGCTTTAACTTTTGGCCGCCCTGAGACAAGCCATGCCATGCTGATTTAGATTTCCATTGTCAGTTTAGACCTTCTCCTTGGTTTCACACGGCACAGAAACACCTGTCTCGGGGGGAAAATCCTATGTTTGTTTGACCCATCCACCTCCCCAACCTCTCTCCCTACGCCCACTTGCACTCTTTATACTACTTCCTTCTTTACTCCCATCATTACATTGGTCACATGATCACAGCCTTCACAATTATGTGGGTTATACATGAAATACTAGCTCATGATTATGTGGGTTATATACGAATTCTGGTGCATTACGTTCATAGGTATTGATGTAAACTGTGCATTAGAAGAGCCCCAACCAACCAGTTTTCATCCCTGAGGTCTTTTGTCTCGTAAAACCTAAAAACACTGTTTGAAAACACTTCAGAGAAAGCTTTTATCTCATCTTTGTGTTGCTTGTGTTGCTTTTTTTCTTCTTTGCCTCATTGTGGTCCACAACATAAAGTCATTATGCTTAGCTGATATATGAAATTACCAAAAGCCAAGTGATACCAAGAATGTTTTGGTGCCATTGAGGGTCTGGGGGCCAGTAGCAGTTGCCCATTTTACTTGGTTGTTAAACAAGCTTTAAGATACTGTCTGGATAAGATTTTTGATTCCTGTCTGTACAATGCATGATGGTAGTTAGCTTCTGAGTCAGTAACTACTGATTGTACATTACACTTTAGGATAAACTGTGGGATAATTTTAGCCCACTGTATAGTATAACAATTATGACGAAAGATTCAGACAACACTACAAAAATACAAACTGTATGCAGTGGTGTACAATGCAGTGAGTGGTGAACGAACACTTTTGGCCACATGCTAATCAGTCTCACAACAGGTGTTTTGCGTTTGACAGTTTTTTCCGTGTTTGAAGCTGTGTGAATTATATAGTTTACATTCATTCATTTACGTGAAAACAGCTCCATCTTTGCCATGTGACTCCTAATTAAGTAGGCTTTCTATTATTATTCATGTAAGATTTCTGGTGTTCTTGTCGTTTGTACGCAGCACCAACTTTAAAATCCTGTTTAATAATCAGACCTACCACAGAGAAAAGGTTTTTATATAATTGGTCATTTTTCTCCTCTTATTTTTCAGGAACATTTCAAGGCCAGTGGGTTGGTGGGATGCGGCACGGCTACGGAGTTCGTCAGAGCGTCCCATACGGGATGGCGGCCGTCATCCGCTCCCCGCTCCGTACCTCCATAAACTCTCTCCGCTCTGGTTCGGAGCACAGCAATGGTACAGCTCTGCTGGACCGGACCGGGGCGGTGGTTCCTGGTCCTCCTCCTGTTCCTGGCACTTTGACCACCAGCGTCTCCATCTGCAGTACGGGCAGCAGCGGCAGCAGCCCTGCTGTGTCTCGTGGAGGTTTTGTGCTTACGGCACACAGCGAGGCTGAGCTGCTGAAGGGGAAGAGAAAAGGAGGACTCTTCCGGAGGTCCATCCTGTCTGGACTCAAGCTGAGGAAGTCCGAGTCCAGGAGCTCTCTGGCCTCCCAGAGGTCAAAACAGAGCTCGTTCAGAAGCGAGGCTGGGATGAGTACTGTATCCTCTGCTGCATCTGATATCAACTCCACTATCAGGTAATAAAAGGAGTAAATAATGGAGGGGGTGGGCAATTTCTACTGCAGGCTAGGCAGAGGTATGCTCATTGGTGTAGTGGTATACACAGATATACAGGGTATACCCACCTTTTTTTCTGGTTGTTTACAGTATACAAACATATCAGCCAGGCTTGGTTTTAAATTTCGACCCAGTACCCAAGGAAGTACATCCATACTGGATAATTCCACACCTCACAATTTATGTCCAATTCCAACATTCAGTGCTAAGTCAGGAAGTAAACTGAGTCGGAATTTGATGCAGTAGACTGAAGTTTGCTTCCTGTCCAGCCCAGTCACCAGAGGAAAATGTTCACGTTTTCATGTTTACATTTCTGCAAACCACGTTATATTTGTACATTTCATTGACTACATAGCATATCAGCATTTCTAGAGCAATATATGAGCTAATTTTGCCAACTGGAGGTGGAGGTGATGGTGGATAATGTAACGTGGGTGTTGTAAGCCATAACATGACCTTCTCTGAACCATATCCATGAAAAAATTATGTACAAATGTAACGTACCCTTGGTTTGCAGAAATGTACAATGTGAACATTTTTTCTGGTGATGGCTGTGTTGTCTAAAACCCACAATGAATGTCTGCCTTTTTACTTATTGTAATTATGATCTTTCTGAAACCAATTTCCATGCACAGCTTATGTAAAAATTGAGAATTTACAAAATGCTGGCACTAAACATAAACATAAACATAATCCCGTTTTTTTTGCCAAATTGTCCAATATTGAGGCTGATGTTTGCCAATAAGGTTGTGTGTTGAAATGCACAAAATTAATTATTAAAATAAATTTTCACATCATATTTCAAAACCACACCCTTTCTCACTAAGGTCAACAACTTTCCTTGGTTCATCTTTTACTCTGCATTCGTCTAATATTGGGGCGACCCATCAAACCCTTCCTCAGGCCTCCCAGTATCCTGTTTTACATAGAAACATGTCAAAGCAATTTCAATGCCACTGCACTGACTGACTCTGCACTGCACTGAAAATGAATGAAGAGGGCAACAGTTAAATAATTGGAGAGTTCAGAGAAAAGAGTGTGTTATAGTAACTCTGTAATGAGGTAATGAAATGAATGAAAGAATGGAGAAAGGTGGAGTGAGAGGACAAGGAGGGATGACGTACTTAAAAAGGTAACCGTTCCTCATCTGAAGGACACCAAGGCTACAACAAGCACCTATCCTACTTAAGTGTCTTCAAAATGGATTGGCATGAGGTTCAAAGTGACCTATAGGTCAAAAGGTCAGTTTACTGTTCAGCTAGCCTGATAAAAAGTTTACATTGTGTTTCTTAGTGATAAGCCAGTTATTGTCGTCTCTCTCTGCTCCGCTGTTGTCCACTCTGTTTTCTCTTTATTGTTCTATGAGCAATCATATTGGACACACTGGCTCAGAGTCAGTCAAAGAGCGGACATGCTGCTGGGTACTGCCTGTTTCATTCATCCTGTAAACAGTAGCATCTTTAACTCAAATGCGGTGAATCAACTGTGTACCACTGGAAACACTGGAAAATTCCAAGTACTCTGGATTGAGGTGGCTTATTTTTAAAGGCACCAATTACTAGACAACAAGAGTCAGCAGCCCTTAACCCTGTTTGTTGGCAAAGTGGCTGGCAGGAGCTTATCAGGTCTGATTAATTATTGGCAAGGCTGATAAGGAGAGAAACTTCTAGGGTTTTTTCCACTCTACTGCTGTAAAAATGCACAAAAAAGCCTCTGTGAGGGCTCATGTATGCATGCAAGATAACGACAACATTTATTATTTATGTGTATGTAATGTATTGCAATTAATCAATTATTTACTGATGTGTTAGATATTCTTATCATTTGAGCATATTATAGCAATAAACCTTACGCTGTGCTGGTGTAAACGTACTAAAAGGAAATAGAGATTTAATTAATGGGCCGGAGGAGGCAAGATGAATACAAGCCTTTGTCAAGCCTTGTCCTTTATTGTTCCCTACCAACCTCAGAATGACTGTATAGTGGCTGACCATAAGGAAGTGATATATCAGGACTGGTATCATATGAATAGACTGGGACAAGAGAATAGAATGAAATATATGTTAAGCATTGTTACTGTATCGACTGTCAGGTTCTTGGGATGTATATTCCCTAAGACATCCAGCACACTATATTGTTATTAAACGAACACTGGTCTTCAGGGTGAAAGTCCGTTTGTTTGACCAATTCACCTGCTCTGCTGCCTGCCCCATACACTATGATAGCTGCTCGGAGACTCAAGAAATGCTGCCGCCCAGTGTGACTAATACCACCACTAAAGGGTAACCCAGTGCGTCCTTATTTGACGAGTTGATCTTTGATTTTAATAGTTGTTTCTGGATGTTTTGCACAAACTTAAGTTATTCAGAATAGTTTAAAATTTGTGAAGTGCCCTTATTTTCTTCCTTTCCAAGCAAAGGATGTTTTCAATTTAATATCTGTGTGATAACTGTCGACTTGAGTAAGGTCATTGATAACCTAGCTTAGCACAAAATTGTAAACAGAAGAAAATAGCAAGCTGGGCTCTGTCCACAGCCTCTACCACCACCTTCATTTATATATTGTATCTCATTTATTTGACACAAACAGAAATATACAATAGATAGATTGTTGAATTTTAGAGTTGGTGGTAATCTTATTTTTCAACTTCAGACAGAAGCCTCGGGCTAGCTGTTTCCCCCTGCTTCCAGTTTTTGTGCTAAGCTAAGCTAACTACTTCCTGGTTCCAGCTTTATGCTTAATGCACAGAGATGAGATTAAAATCATTGCCACTGGTGCACAGCACTCCTGTTACATTATGGTAGAGCTCTCAAAGCTTACCTGCCAACCAAACCTCTCTTCTTCTTGTCAAAGTTATGTGTAGGATTACTGATTGAACACACCCTCTAAACCAATGTGACCTTTCATTTTTCCAGTCTTGGAGATGCAGACGCAGAGTTGGCCGTTGCAGACGATGATGTGGATGCCACGGCAACAGAGACATACTGCGGGGAGTGGAAGAATGACAAGCGGACTGGATTTGGTGTGAGTCGGCGGTCTGACGGGCTGCAGTATGAGGGGGAGTGGCTTAGCAACAAACGCCACGGCTACGGCTGCACCACATTTCCTGATGGCACAAAAGAGGAAGGGAAGTACAAACAGAATATCCTGGTGAGCGGCAAAAGGAAGAACCTGATCCCCCTCCGGGCCAGTAAGATCAGAGAGAAGGTGGACAGAGCCGTGGAGGGAGCACAAAAAGCAGCTGACATTGCCAGGCAGAAGGCTGAGATCGCTCTGTCCAGGTAGGGGCTTTATGATGGTTTGTCGATGAGTCTGTGCAGCTGTCTGTCTTGTCTTTGTCATTTCCTTCCAGTCCTTTGGTTGAAACAGAAGGCCACCCAGGTTAGAGGTGGTTTGTGTGTATACACTGGTTAGATCATGGTTAATGTTTAATCTGAACTGACGAAGGCCTTAAAGTCCCTGAAACCTACTTTCTCAATCAGATTCTGAATCGGAGGGATGGGCTTCTATAGACATGCTAACATCCTGCAAAAGTTAGACTGATTTTGTTTATTTTACATGAGACATTTCTTTGTTTGGGTTTGTCTGTTTTTACTGCTCTGAAGAAGGTGGAGCTCACTTGAAAAGAAGCATGTGATGTACTTCTGCACACCTGCACAAAATGGGATGACAGTCTGGGGATTGATTGATTTTGTTTCCAGCACTGTCTATCAAGCCAGCTACCTAGGTACAGCGATGCTCTTGCTCAGGTTAGAAAAAGTCAATGAACTACATCATTTGAATCTTTTAACTGAACTGAATGAACTCATTCAAATAAGCAAAGTGATTTGTAATTTCCAACTCTAATTTCCATTCCTCACCTTTCATCTCACTCTCTGCCTTCTGTCTTATCTCGCTGACTTTGTGTCGTACCAGTGTCCACCCCCTGCTGATGTCTCCATGTGTCTGAATCACTGGGGGAGTTGGCTCAACATGTTAACACTTGTGGATGGCCCCATTCCGCATTATAATTGAGATCAATGACAGATTAAGAACAGGATTAAGGTTAGGGTGAAAGTAGGGTTAAGGAGGTTATGGTACAAGTGAAACAGCAAGCGAAGCGAGACCGCCAGGAGCTGTTAAGACTCTGATGAAGCTGCTCTGCTGAATGGAAATGAAAGCCTGCTCTCATTATAACTCTGCTCATTGAACTAAAACAATGAGCACAGTTGGGGTTGTGATGTTAATGGGTGTGTCCTGACCTTCTTTACGGCCGCTAGAAACTTTTGGACAGGAATGTAAAGCAACAATTTTTGTTTTTCAGCTCAGGACTCAGAAATTAATTAGCTGTCCTGGGACCTGTTGTCATGGATACACATCGATACTCTTGTCATGTGGGGACCAATCAGAAGTAGGCCTATGACCCATTTTGGTCCCAGACCTTGTTGTTTCAAGGAACCAGGTTACAGGGCCGTGTCAGTTCAGTCAGTTCAGTGTGCTTGCCGTCAACCCAAGGTTTGAATAAGGAAATTTGTCAGGGTGAACATTTGGATAATGAGTTCAATCCAGGGATACAAACTGAGCAAACAATTTGGCTGCAAGTTTCACAGGAATCCCATTCCACACTTAAATCTATATCCGCTAAAAGATGGTTCGCCTGAGCCAGTTCTGAAAAGTAATATAGGAGGTCACAAGTTGAATGTTTCTTCCTACGCCAATGACTGTAGTGGAATTTAAACAGTATTTCCCTGATACCATAGCAACAACACTGAGTATCTAAAATGTGAGAAAAGTGACTTGATAAGATGTAATTTAATACATAGTTTTGAATCTAGAGGATAGAGAGCCATGTTTGTGAATAGACAGTCAGTTTAATATTCTGGAAAGTGAAAGAGTGGCTGGGTTGAATCAGTGGTTGGTATGAGAAAGAACATGAAGTCCAGCACACACAGCTGGTATTAACAATGTAAGCCTGATTTATGGTCCTGCGGCGTACCTACAACATACCTACATCGTTGCCATGACGCCGTCGTGAACCCTTCGAACTTCTACGTCACTCAATTTCGTAGCGGTGCAATTCACCACCAGAGCGGAAGGAGGCTGCGTTCCTTTCCTGAATGGTTATCGTCGTCTCTAGTTGATTCTTTGTTTAGCTTCCGGCTTTTCCAGTCACAGAGAAATGAACGCGGAGCACGGACAGACGGCTCCATCCGTATCCATATTGAACGTTGAGCATAAATGGGCCTTAATACTGCAACATATGTGCAACATCTACATAGCAACAGAAGATGTTTAAAGATGGCGGGGATGGAGCAATCTGGAAATACGGAACAAGAAATGCGTTGCTACCAAACAAACCAATCACAGCCCTCTCGGTCTGCGCTGGGTCTGCGTCGCCTCGACGTGTAGTTACATTTTTGGGGAGGTGCACGTCAGGCAACACCGGGGGCTACGGAGAGCCTTCTGAGTAGCCACGTACCCTACGACGTAGCGACGTTGTTGATTTAACGCAGGACCATAAATCAGGCTGTAGAATTTGTGCATCCACAAAAAGAAATAGTTTGACATTTGGGAAATACACTTCACTTTATTTGTTATGTTGTTTGTTGTCATGGACATTACTTTAAAGGTGTAGTGTGTAGGATTTAGTGGCATCTAGCAGTGAGGTTGCAGATTGGAACCAACTGAAACTTCTCCCGTGTGCCAAGAGAGCAGGAGAACCACCGTGGCTGACATAAAAAAGTGAAAAAGTGAATAGCCTACATCTAGAGCCAGTGTTTGATTTGTCCATTCTACTGTAGAAACAACATGGCGGACTCTGTGGAAATGGACCCTCTCAGTATGTAGATATAAACAGCTCATTGTAAGGAAACCCAATGATTCTTATGGCACGTTCCAGGTGTGTTTTTACAACCTTCTACCTGTGAAAGTGCACTGGAACGGCAGTCAAGCCTGTAACTTACCACCCGTGAACTCGTACCAATTCGATCCCAGTTACGCTTTCTGACGTCACACAGCCCTCTAAACCAATTACCTTACTCCTCTAAACAACAATGGCAGCCCTATGGATGCGGTGTTGATGCAGGTGATACACGGTGAGAAATAGACATAAAATAACCCTAATGTTAATGCATTATTGGCAGCCGCTCTAACAGCTGGTTTCCAGTGCAAGAATAAATCAATACAAAATATGTTTCCAAACACACAGATAATGTAAAATAAAAAGTATAATAGCATCTGTGACCTTATGCGCTGTTTCTCCTCCTCTGTTTCGTTCAAATGTGGAAGAAACCGGCACCTTTAGTGACAGAAGTGATCATAAACAAGCATAAACCTTGCACGGTCTGCCATGTTGCTTTGACAGTTTGGCGTGACTTGCCTGGAGCGCTATTAAGTCGTGAATCGTGACTTGAAGTAGTGACTTATGGGAACGTAGCATTAGTTTCAGGTGATTATGCATTAATTAATTAATGCATTAAACTAAAGGATTGATTAGGACTCATCATATAATGGCAAAAAGTCATTTTATTTTAGAGTTTGTGTTCCCTTCTGGCTTGTAAATCAGATCTCATAGGACCCATTTTTTTCTCCATTTTTTAATTTGCTGAAAATGTACAAACTATAGACTATATATTCTGTAAAGATGGAGTACATGTCTCCATTTATTCCCACTGTGCAAAAATGAGTCCAAATACTGCGAAAATCACCACTGTCATCTTGAACTGGTGACGTCATTTTGAGCCAGAGTTTGTGTAGTAGCGAGTGAGAAGTGGAGCCGCTGTATTGCGTTCCCGCCCATACATCCATTAGACCCAACCATGAGCAGCTCCATTGATTATGAGCACACAGCAACTGACACACAAATGTAAAATGATGTCAGACCTCCTTTTTATAGCATCAAATAACTAATTAAAACCCAACTTATCAGAAAATGAAAACTTGAGCATACATCAGCGACATAAGAACAACCTAAAATGACATAAACTCTCCTAGGGATTTTTTTTTTTTTTTTTTGATGTGTACTTTGATGTTTTAGTCTTGCCTATCTCTCATTTGCAAACATGGAGGGGGTGGGGTGTATGACCTGTGCTGCAGCCAGCCACCAGGGGGCGATCGAGATGTTTTGGCCTCAATTTTGGGAGCTGCTGTCCATCTTGGTGCTAACTCTGTCAGATCTCTGTAGAACTGTCAGATCTTGTTTCATGCAACTCATGGTATATGTGACTTGTATGTTAACACTCAACAGTGGAATGCTGCAGTGTTGCAGTCGCAATAATGAACGCAAGTTCAACCAGTCCCCTTGCATTCTGGTTGCAATTTTGCCTAATCACTGCAACTTTTACTGCAAATTTGACTATTCAAAGCAGGTAAAGTCTCATGTCATTGTAGATTGCGCGCATTGGAAGACTGCTGCAAGAGTGTGAGCTCTGTGCCTGGGACACACACACAGTGACAGGGCTAACTGTTAGTATCACACAGCTAATGCTACCCAATGGTTATAAATGGGTTTAGAAACAGAGTCAAGCCATTTAGTTATCAGTGTAAGATTGTTTGGATTGTTAAATGGCTCCATGTTTGATGTTAGCCGCTGCTGCTGCTGCTGTGTTAACTCGTGCTATGTAACTAGGCAGAGAGAGTAGGAGAGCAGCTCAAGGAGATGGTCCTCCAGTGCTGCATTGAACAGCAGCAACAGCTGATCATTGCCAATGCTCATAATGAAAAGCTCCGAATCTGAGACAGCATTACCACTATTTATGCAAATTTCATGTGCCTCCACAATTTCATTGCAAACAAACAAACACATTGCCACATAGAAAAGTTGCTGTGAAATCAGACATTTAAGGCTGCAACGATCCCAAAAACAGCCCACAAAATCCCTGAGGGACTTGCAGGTACTGTGACTTAAGTGTTATCTAAGAGGACACCTAGCTTTGCAGTGCCAGCACAAGTTTTCCCTCTATTAGGTTATGTTGTACAACAGATGTGCGGTCCTGCAAAGGAAAGATATGAGCGATGATTGGGATAAATGGCTGCAGAGTGAAAGCAGCCTCAGACAGCGGGTTAGTGACACTGAGTTTGTGAATGAGCCAGTGGTCTGAAAAGGGTTAGGTTTACTATCTGATAAGCAGCTGACCTTGAAACAGATCAATAATGAAACACACTGACATCATGGTCAATAACTGTAACTTACATGTATGTACAGTATATGTATATATCCTTGTGTTTGCATGTGTTCAAGAGTAGATGTCCTGTATTCTACAAGTGTCAAGACTTAGATGGACAAGCGTGTTTAGGGGATAGA